CCATAGTATACATATCGCAAGGTTCTTACCAATTAAACTTTGCAATTTGTACACTAATCTTTGATACGTTGTTTGAAATTTGCATTATTGTCGAGTGTCAATTGGATGAGAAAACTATTTGAAATTTAAACTGTCCAACAGGGTAATGTCATGTGGCAAAGTGTAAACTAAGGTGTACACCATAGTGTACATGCAGAAAGTTCTTACCGATCAAACTTTGCTATTTGTATGCTGATTTTTGACATGTTGTTTGACACTTGCATTGTTGTCAAATATCAATAGGACGGCAAAATTGTTTCAAATTTAAACCGTCCAACCGGGTAATGTCACGTGGCAAAGTTTAAACTAAAGTGTACATCATAGTGTACATGTATTAAGGTCCTTATCGATTGAAATTTGCTATTTGTACACTGATTTTGGACACGTTGTTTGATACTTGCATTGTTATCAAGTGTCAATTGGAAGGAAAAACTATCTGAAATTTAAACTGTCCAATAAAGTAATGTCACATGTAAAGTGTACACCATAGTGCACATGTAGCAAGGTTCTTACCGATTGAACATTGCTATTCGTATATTGATTTTTGGCACATTGTTTGACACTAGCATCATTGTCAAGTGTCAATTGGATGGGAAAATAGTCTAAAATTTAAACTGTCCGACAAGGCAATGACACGTGGAAAAGTGTAAACTAAAGTGTACACCGTAGTTTACATGTTGCAAGGTTCTCACTGATTGAAATTTGCTTTTTGTACACTGATTTTCGACACGTTGTTTGACCCTTACATTATTGTCAAGGGTTAATTGGATGGGAAAATTGTTTGAAATATAAGCTATCCGACAGCGCAATGTCTCGTGGCAATGCGTAAATTAAAGTGTACACCATAGTGTACATGTGGCAAGGTCCTTACCGATTGAACTTTGCTGCTTGTACACTGATTTTCGACACATTGATTGACACTTGCATTGTTTTCAAGTGTCAATTAGATGGGAAAATTATTTAAAATTTAAACTGTCCAGTACAGTAATATCACGAGGTAAAGGGTAAATTAAAGTATACTCCGTTGTGTACATGTAGTAAGGCTCTTACCAATTGAAATTTGCTATTTGTACACTGATTTTTGACATGTTGTTTGATACTTGCATTGTTGTCAAATGTCAATTGGATGGCAAAATTGATTGAAATTTAAACTATCCAGCAGGGTAATGTCACGTGGTAAAGTGTAAACTAAAATGTACACCGTAGTGTACTTGTTGCAAGGTTCTTACCGATTGAACCTTGGTATTTGTACACTAATTTTTGACACATTGTTTGACACTTGCATTGTTGTCAAGTGACAATTGGATGGAAAAATTGTTTGAAATTTAAACTGTCCAGTAGGGTGATGTCACGTGGTAAAGTGTAAACTAAAGTGTGTACACCATAGTGTACTATTGTAAAATTTTGTTTCGCAATTGTACGACCCGTAACAAGTAATAATGGACCTAAGAGTCCGGTTTGTCAATCCCACAAGGACTATTTTCTAGCATTTAATTCAATCTTTCTTTAACTACTATTTGACTAACACAAATCAAAGGTTGTAAAATCTAGGTTTTAATCTAAATTCTAGGAAATAAATGAATGTTCACACAATTGGTTGGAGAATCAAATAATGAATGAATGTTAGGGTAGAATTACTTCACCAATTGATCACCTTTACATCTCAAATTAAAACTCAATTCTAATGTCGTGCTCGGTTGAATTCTCTTAGTGTTTTCAATTTACCCCTCTCAAGTTCTCATTAATCCTATTCAACTAATTAAATTTCATATCTCTATGAATATTCAACTTAGTTAAACGAGTTCTATGTCTTAGGAATTCAATTATGACCGCAATAAATGGTATAGGTATCTCTACTCGTTTTACCAATGTACTGGATTTTACTACACGGTCTAAATCCTAAACTCATATCTCTATTTATAAAGAATTCACAAAAATCATCAAATTATTGATTAGATAATTTAATGCATTCAATTTATAGCAAAATCAACACATGGAAGAATTAAAAACTGAAAGTCTTAATAAGAGAATGTAAAAGATCCCAATTGGTTAAATTATTCCTCCTAACAATGAATTCAGCTACTCATAATACAAGAAGAAATGTAGGAATTTGTCTTAGAATACATCACCGAGTTTGTAATAAAGATGTAGAAGAAAAAGTAGAATTTTTGCACCAAGATCTCCTTCCTCTTCCAATGAATGCTTCTAATCTTCAATTTCTTGGTGTTAATCTTCTTGAATTTCTCTTTTGAATCTCCCTTCTTGTTGTCTTCTCTCCAATATGTCAAGAACCCTTCAAAAGTATGAGGAAGATGTATTTATAGGTGCCCCTCCATTTTATGTAGAAGTAGGATTTTTATGGTTTTAAAAACAGCCCAAAAAACGCGTCCTAGATCTTCAATCGCAGCGCTTAGGCGATATAAGATGGCACCTAAGCGCTGGTTATAGCGCCTGAGCGCTATGTCTTCAGCGCCTAGGCGCTGATGGTAGCGCCTAGGTGCTATGGTTGTGGCGCCTAGGAACTATGGTAGCGCCTGGGCGCAATGGTTGCGGTGCCTAGGCGCTGCCTCTCGGGTCCAAATTTCATCTTTTTTCAGTTTCACAGTGCCTAGGCACTATGAATGCAGTGCCTAAGCACCGTCTTTCTGTCCCAATTCCGTATTTTTGGCCTCTTCATCCACTTTAATACTTCTTTTCACATCGCTTTTCCTAATCTTCAAAACAACACTAACAAACACATCAAAAAAGTTCTATACTCACAAGATCTAGCAAAAATCAAGCTAAAATTGTGTAAAAATCATGTGTAACAAACTCATCAAATACCCACTTAACCATTTCCTAGTCCTCGAGCAAACACCAAAACCCATAAAAATAATTAATGCACACACAAGCACAACTAAGACAAACAAAATCACTTAAAATAAATTTCGCTAGATAGCTTGCCTTTATGTTTGAGGATTAAAAACATAACTTCGATTCCATGAACCACTTCAAAGCTATAATGCAAAAGTTAAATTCTCACCTATTCAATGCAAGATGGGTGTTTGGGTGGAGAGTCATGTGCAACACTGTACAATAATAAGTTGACCCAATTCCCGACCTTAGAAGTCAAATTTTTCCTTACTTTGCTCTTGGGATTCACGTACCCCCAAACTTATTTTCTTTTCTCTTTCCAAGGGTGTATCCTAAGGTTAAATTTTCAATACTAATTTCTTACACCACTCATGTTTGGTTAGATTTTACTGATTGTAGCTCCACATGTCAACAAATGAGGATTCTCCTGATTTTTGACTGCTTCAACCTCTAGGAATCAACCAAGTTACTAACCCCTTAGCAAAGGTCTAATCTCTAAAACAAGTGTTCGGGACTTAATCAAGGCATTTGATATCTATTTTTTTCTCTTTTTTTTTAAAATTTTTCTCCATATATATCTTTATTCTTTAATCACTCTTTGTGTGGACGTCTCTCCCTTAAGCTTTCTAAATGACCCCTGTAGCGAGTTTTACACCGATGACTCCCAAATCAGATGACTTTAGGGCACCAGGTTTTAAACCCTTACAGGCTTAATCACTCGAGTCATAAAGGCTACGAAGAGACGATTCACAATGAGATTATTAAAGTTGTCCTCATTGGGATCTTTTATTTTATGCGGTAATTAGTGCAATGCCCCTTATTAAACACCTACCCTCGAAAATCGACCTCTAACTTAAGGTTTTCACCCAATTTTCATCATATTGGTCTCATACAATCTACACAAGAATTAACACACACAAAATCCACATTTATCTCCAAATTTCCCTACAACAGTGCAATCATCCAAACGTCCTAAGTTTGGTTTAAGGGTATTGTGATGTTTAATGGTTGTTTGGGTTTAGCATCTAAGTTCTCTATTTCAACCTATAAACGTGAATCAACCTCCTTATGCACAACGCTACAATCAACTCACGTGCAAAAAATAATTTTCGTTTCACATGAATAAGCAAAAATCTAACTCAAACACATAACTCGTCCACAATTCATAAATCAACGTATGTTCTCAATTACACATATCAATACCGACAAGGTTATCTAACACACACAAGCATGCAAAAAAACGAAATGAATTGTTTTTTTTTGAATAAAAATATAAACACATAAAACAAGCAAATCACACATAAGCATTCGAGAAACTCAACAATGTAATGAAATGATGCCACTCCCCTAAACTTAACTAGAACATTGTCCTCAATGTGAAATTTAAAGGAAAAGGAGGAGGACTTCCCTGAAATGTCAGTATTGCCTATGATGTTGTGGTGTCTTGGTGTTGCATTTGATTGACTATTCTTCTACATTTTCCCCCAAACTTGAGATTTATCCCATTTTCTCCATGTCCATGTTGGTTTGAGTGTTCTGTGACGTCATGTTCCTAAAAAATTAAATTTGAAAAATTAAACTCATGGAACAAGGATTACTTAGCTCAAACATCTAATAACCAACTTAATTACTCCAAGACCTATGGGTAGAAGGTGTATGGGTGATGATTCCTAAATAAACTATAAATTAAACTCTCTTAGAACTTTGAAAACAAAATAAAAAAAATAAAATAAAAGCTTGGGTTGCCTCCCAAGAAGCACTTCTTTTAAGTCATTAACTTGACTTGTGCTGCTGATTTATCATGGTGGCTCAAACAAAGTTATTCCATCATTGCACTTTGTGCAATTTTCATTGATGTAGTCCTTTTTTGCTCTACAAATTTTGATTTGTCCATTCTTATCTCTACCAAGAAGTTCTCCAATTTTTTTTTTATTCTTGCAACTTCGTTGATTAGGTGGTTCTTTTTCATCAATTCTACAACAATCATTTTTATTAGGAGGTTTCTCATATTGGATGTAAATATTGAATATGTCCTACTTGTCCTACACATTCAAGATTAGTTCTCCCTTCTCCATGTCAATAAGGGTTCGTCTCGTTGCTAAGAATAGTCAACCCAATATAATTGGAATGTCTCGATCTTCTGGTGTGTCCAATACAATGAAATCCACAGGAAATATTGAATTTCCTACTTTTACGAGTACAACCTCAACATTGCCATGTGGCCTTGCGATTGTTCTATCAGCGAGTTGTAGTGTTATTGATGTTGAGTTGACTTCACCTAGTCCCAATTTCCTGTAAGCAAAATATGGCATTAGATTGATACTAGCACCAGTGTCACACAATGCATTAGTTGAATAAGAATTTCCAATTGAAACTAGTAAAGTAAAACTCCCTGGATCCTTCAATTTAGGAGGCAATTTTCTCTGGAGTCTTGCACTACTTTTCTCAGTTAATGCAACAATTTCAAACTCTGGAAGCTTTCTTTTCTTTGTCAACATCTCTTTCAAACATTTCTTATAGCTTGGAATTTGTAGTATAGCATCTATGAACGAAACATTGATCTGGAGCTTCTTGAGAACATCGAGAAATTTTTCATAGTTTGTGTCTTGTTTGTTCTTCTTGAGCTTTTGAGGAAAGGGAATGGGAGGCATGTAAGATTTTTCTAGACTTAGTGCTTTGGCAGCTGATGTTTCTGTACTTTCTCCATTTTCAGTTGTGTTTGTTACAGATTTTTCTACCCTTGTAGCTTCATCAATCACTTCTTAGTCATCTTTTCTTTTGGGTCTCTCTGTAGTGATCTCTGGTGCTTGTACCTCGCTCTTTGTATTTATAACATGAATATTTTGCTCTATCAACTTCTTTCGAAGTCTTTGGGGAAGCGAAAGTGGAGGTACATATGCTTTAACTTTTAAGGGAGCCCTGGGTGGATCGTTCTCCACTACTTTAATTGCCATCAATTGTTCCTTAGGATTTATCATTGTATTACCTGGCAATGTCCCTTGTGGACATTCTACAAGTTGTTGTGCTATCTGACCAATTTGTGTCTCCAATTTCTTGATGGATGCCTGCTGATTTTGAAAGTTCATGCCAATTTGTTAGAACACTTTGTCCGTCTTCTGCAAATATTGTTGAAACATCTTCCCCAAACTTGGTCTTCTTTCTTGCTAGAAATTGTTACCATATGAGTTGAAATTACGGGAGCTATTTTGAATAAAGTTTACTTGTTCCTCTGAAGAAGTGAGCATCATGTAGCTCTCTGTAGTGTGATTTCTCCAACAATTCTCACATACTAAACTAGCCATCATTGCATTTGCTCCATGTGTTTGCAATTTTACAAGTAACTCTACCTGTTTTGTTAAAGCTGCTATCTGTGCATTGGTAGATGTTGTGCTATCTAATTCACACATTCATGCTGCCTTTGGTGGTACCACTCTTTCTGATGAGAACATTGAATGTGTGGTAGCAATTAACTCAAATAGGTCCATGGTTTGTTGCACTGATTTCCCTGTGATTGATCCTCCAGCAGAGGCATCAACTTGAGATTTTGACAATGGTGTAAGTCCAGTGTAGAAGTACTGCACTTGGTTTCCTCGAATGATTCCATGGTTTGGACATTTTTTCATCAGCTCATTAAATCTATTCTATACCTCGTGATAGCTTTCTCCCTCTTTCTATTGAAAAGTTTAAATTTTCAATCTGATTTTAGCTACTCTAGCTGGTGGGAAGAATTTGTTGTAGAATTTCCTGATCAATTCTTCCCATGTAGTAATGCTGGCATGAGGCTCCGCATCTAACCACTCCAATGCAGCATCTCTCAATGTAAATGGAAATAGTCGTAATTTAATAGCATCTTCATTGACCCCCGGAGCATGGAAGTTCTAACAATTTCTGAGAAATCTGGAGATATGTGTGTTCGGATTCTATGAGGTAGCCCGTAGAATTGCAGGGTGTTGCTGATCAAGTTAATTCAATCTGGTCTGATCTAAAAGTTATTCACCCTAAAATCTGGATACATGATATTGGAGTGCATGGGTGCTGCTATAGGTGTCAGGAACATTGATACAGGCAAATTACCTTCATTTATTTTCCCTCACTCATGCTGTTGTTCCGGTGGTGCCACTTTTGCTGCTATTTGTCCAATCGACTGAATAGAGATATGGATTTTTTGATTGTCAGCCACTTGACATTGTTATTTTGTTTGTGTTCCTTGCGTCTTCGTCTGAAGGTACGTTCTATCTTCGAGTCAAACGGTTCAAGATCATCGCCTTGGGCACGGAGCATACAACAAACACAATTTTCTGTAAATAAAAGAAAAATAAACAAATCAAATAACAGTTAAAATAAAAAAAATAATTGAGACTAGAAGAAATATTCCTCGGAAACGGCACCAAAAACTTGTTGTAAAATTTTGTTTCGCAAGTGTATGACCCGTAACAAGTAATAGTGGACCTAAGAGTCCGGTTTGTTGATCCCACAAGGACTATTTTCTAGCACTTAATTCAATCTTTCTTTAACTACTATTTGACTAACACAATCTGGGTTTTAATCTAAATTCTAGAAAATAAATGAATGTTCACACAACTGGTTGGAGAATCAAATAATGAATGAATGTTAGGGTAGAATAACTTCACTAATTGATCACCTTTACATCTCAAATTAAAACTCAATTCTAATGTAGTGTTCGGTCAAATTCTCCTATTGTATTCAATTTACCCCTCTCGAGTTCTCATTGAGCTTATTCAACTAATTAAATTTCATATCTCTATGCAAAATCAACTTAGTTAAACGAGTTCTATGTCTTAGGAATTCAATTATGTCTGCAATAAATGGTATAGGTATCTCTACTTGTTTTACCAATGTACTAGATTTTACTACATGGTCTAAATCCTAAACTCATATCTCTATTTGTAAAGAATTCACAAAAATCATCAAATTATTGATCAGATAATTTAATGCATTCAACTCATAGAAAAATCAACACATGGAAGAATTAAAAACTAAAAGTCTTAATAAGAGAATGTAAAAGATCCCAATAGGTTACATTATTTCCCGTAACAATGAATTTAGCTACTCATTATACAAGAAGAAAAGTAGGAATTTGTCTTAGAATATATCACCGAGTTTGTAATAAAGATGTAGAAGAAAAAGTAGAATTCTTGCACCAAGATCTCCTTCCTACTCCAATGAATGCTTCTAATCTTCAATTGTAGCTCCTAAGCTCTATAACACAGCACCTAAGAGCCGGTTATAGCACCTGGGTGCTATGTCTTCAGTGCCTAGGCGCTATGGTTGTGGCGCCTGGGCACAATGATTGCGGCACCTAGGCACTGCCTCTCGGGTCCAAATTTCATCTTTTTTCAGTTTCGTAGTGCCTAGGCTGTGACGCCCCGAATTTAAGCTTCGAGAGTCACGCACTAAACATAATAACTTCTGCCTTTGGTACATGTAAATACTCTTAAATAGAAGTATTACATGTTAGAGACTTATTTTTTCAATTTGATAAAACAATTCTTATAAAATTTGATGGCCGGTAAAAGTGCATGCCAACATGAAATTAGACATTACATATACGGCCTCGGCATTTGGGGCAGCAAGTTTGACAATTTTTATAAAATTCATCCCAACTCCGTTTTCTATGAAATTTGTGGCATTAGAAATATAATTTCAATTAGTTTTCCAGGTTAAAATATGAAAATTTTCCAAGATCATATGATATAGACGTTTTACTGAAAACAGTGAAGTATTACACAGGGAATCCAGATTGACCCCTTGACGTTAAAACCTTGATAACTCAGGTCCTAGATATTCAAATTGAGTGATTCCTTCGGCTATATTTAGAAAACTAAAATAGGAAAACAGACATACTTTTAGAATCTCAAATGGACGTCTATAGAGTTAGAAACTTTGTTTTGAAAATGAATCCAGAAACTGTAACGTTTCTGCTTTTTATCACTTGCAAGTAAAATAAACTATGAAAACGTCTCTTAACATAACATGAAAGATATAATTACAAAATTTACTATTAATACCATATTACATCATGTCATGTACATATTTTTACATAGTACCATAAGAAAAATAAATGGAAAAACAGTCATCGAGCAAAACATACAAAAGAAAACTTTCGGTTCAAAACATTTGTCCTTAATCCATCATCGCTTAAGCCAAGTAACTCCCATCAATTCAACGATCATGGATCTGAAAATTTAGCGTAACATACTATGAGTATAAGAAATACTCAGTAAGATACCATGCTTGGATTTTTATCATGATAATACTACACAAAAGAATGCAATCAAACACATACTTTCACATTCCGGCTTGCCGGTGCCCTTCGGACTTGTCCTAAGGCATAAATAGATATCTAACTATGTGGACTTGTCCACCAAAATCATATTATGGTTTTTCATGCATAGCTTAAGCATAATTATTACTATGAAAATCATAACTCTTAAGCATGGAAAGTATCTTACCGTAAAACTTGAAGATCTTCGGTTGAGATGTAAATTAGAAGTGCTAGTCTTACTTCCTTCCCTTTTCTTTCTTATTTTCGGTTTTTGCTCTCTTTTTAAGTGTATAAGTGTTTTGTAAAATGAAGGAAATCTCTCTATGGCAATGGATATGGATGTATTTATATATATATATATATATATATATATATATATATATAAAGATAAGGATAAATGATTGATATTTTTTCTTCCTTTTTTCTTCTCCACCACCTCACCTCCTTTTCTCCCTTTTTTTTTCCTTGTTTCTACACATGTTTAGTCTATTATCTAAGTGTATGGTGATGATGGATAACAAGTGGGTTGATTATAGGGTAATAAGTGGCCTGGCTCTACATCTTCTGCCATAAAGGGCTTCGTAAGGTGCCATCTTTATCGTAGCTTGGTAGCTATTATTATAGGCAAACTCTACCAGTGGCACATAGTTTTCCCAACTGCCCCCTAAATCAAGGATGCATGCACGCGGCATATCCTCTAAAGTCTGTATAGTCCTCTCCGATTGCCCATCAGTTTGTGGATGAAAGGCTGTGCTGAAGTTTAACTTGGTCCCCATAGCCTCTTGCAAACTTTTCCAAAATTTTGAGGTAAATCTTGGATCTCTAAGTGTTGGTCGAATCGTTAGAGCTGCTATCCTGGCACTAGTTTGGGTTGGTGGAACAATTACTTCTAGATGTAAGTTGTCGAAATCCTTTAACAACTGATCCTGCATAGTGATTTGTACTGCTAATTGTCCCACTGCGTTTCTGCTAAGAGCATCAGCTACTACATTAGCTTTACCAGGATGATAATGGATAGTGCAGTCATAATCCTTTACTAGCTCTAGCCATCTCCTCTGTCTCATATTTAATTCCTTTTGGGTGAAAAAATACTTCAAACTCTTATGATCAGTATAAATGTCACACTTATTTCCATATAAGTAATGACGCCATATCTTGAGGGCATGAACTACCGCAACCAATTCTAGATCATGGGTTGGGTAGTTTTGTTCATATTGTTTCAATTGTCTGGAAGCGTAGGCTATCACCTTCCCTTTTTGCATCAGAACACATCCTATGCACTGTTTCGAAGCATCGCTATATATGACAAATCCTTCTGGTCCGTCAGGTATTGTTAACATTGGAGCTATGACTAATCTTCATTTC